GGAACAAAAAAATAAGATACAGTTATTAGTATAGATAGGTATGCGCTCACTAGCACTGTCACTATTTTTGTGTGTGTGTGTGTGTGTGTGTGTCTGTGAGAGAGTGAGGGGAGAGAAAGAGAGAGATTGAGAGAGAAAGAATGAGAGAGAGAAAGAGAAAGAGAGAGAGAGAGAGAGAGAGAGAGAGAGAGAGAGAGAGAGAGAGAGAGAGAGAGAGAGAGAGAGAGGGGGGGGGGGGTTCATCCACCAAGTTGTTACGACGTACAGCTCACGACATTAATTGATTATACACAACATTTGTTTGTTAAGGATGCTACATTGTTCTATAAAGACGTTGATGTAACCATCCGGTTTTGTCCATTTAACACTATCCGTGCGCCCTGGGGTCATTTTGTACCCCCGGGGTTGTATTCTCCACGTTAATTTAGAATACTTCTATCTTGTACGAAGACCTCTTTTAAATTTTCAGTATTTCTCTCAAAACCATTTTGACAGACTGAAATGTTAAGCAAAGGGATCGGATTAACGAGTAAATTTCCTCTTTGGAAAGTGGTGGCACCGATTTCCCCACGTCGTATGGGTACGATAGTAAAACACGACGTACGGACAGGGTTAAAATGTAACTCCTGTTTTAGATAGATCTAAGCACGAATACGCACGAATACGTTTTTCCGCCATCATTTCAGTTTTCTTCTTAGTGTTCTTGTACCTGAGCAAGTGTAATTAAACTGTAGGTCGTGGATCTTGTCAATTCTTGAAAGTTAGGAAGATGTTTGTGGAGTTACGAAAAAGTATTTGGATCATAATGTTTATATCTTTTATGAATCTCTTCTCTCCCCCCTCCTCCCCCCAAACCCAATCCCCTGTCTGTCTGTCTGTCTGTCTGTCTGTCTGTCTGTCTGTCTGTCTTCCTATCTGTCTGTCTGTCTGTCTGTCTGTCTGTCTGTCTGTCTGTCTGTCTGTCTGTCAGTCTGTCTGTCTGTCTGTCTGTCTGTCTGTCTGTCTGTCTGTCTATCTCTTGGTCTACAATCTATCTATCTATCTTCTCTCGACTAACCTTACTTTCTTTCTTTTTTTTTTCTCTGTGGGTACATGTTTGTTCGCATGTAGTGGAGTTTGTAGTAGTAGAGTAGTGTGTCAGGGGTTTGTTTTGGTGGTGGGTTTTTTTTTTTTTTGGTTTTTTTTTGGGGGGGGGTCTTTTTGCCTTTTGTTGTTCTTTTAATGTTTTTTTTAAAGGGGGGTGGGTGGGTGGTGGTGGTGGTATTGAAAAAGAATTGTGAGTGGATATACAGCAAAATACAAGAAACAAACAAACTTAATGGTGCATCGAAAATCCAGAAATCAACGAGTGAGAGAGAGAGACAGAGAGACAGAGAGAGAGAGAGAGAGAGAGAGAAAGAGAGAGAGAGACAGAGAGAACGAGCTACAGACGCTGCAGAGAGACGATAGATAGATAGATAGATAGATAGAGAGAGAGAGAGAGAGAGAGAGAGAGAGAGAGAGAGAGAGAGAGAGAGAGAGAGAGAGAGAGAGAGAGAGAGAAAGGGGGGAAGTACGCGTGGGTGTCTCCTGTAAAGCTCTACTTATTGCGTTTTCTGAATAAATGTCACACAGCCAATGATACGACGAGCGCACAAACTGTATTTATATACAAGTAGAAAAAAACCCTAACCTACAACAAAAGCTACGACAATGACCACAATGAGTCTTTTAATAAAAATACAATGGAAACAAAAACTTTCTGACAGAATTTTTTTTTCTTTAGTGATATTCGGCTGAATGTTTTTTGAAGCGAAGTGGGAAAAAAATCGATATCTGCCAGATGTTCCAAAATAAATATTATGTCCATCAAAGAATGAATGATAAAACCAACTCATGAAAACTCAGAAAAAAATGTGCACTCGTCATATTGAATGAGTTATGCGCGTTGAATAAAAGCAAAATTTAAATAATAAAACATGCAATTTTTAGCGTTCACGTCTGGTTTCAGATGTAAAATTAGCTAGAAAATGGCCGCCAAAGTTTGATGATTTCCAAAGCTTGAGAGTCCTTGGAAACAGCAATTTTTTTCTGGGTGGCTTTTATAAATGTGTTTCAGTAAAATCCACATAGGAATAACATGTTTCTAAAAGAACATAAAATATGTTGAGTCACAAAATAAAACATCGATAGAAATTGCCGAACCAGCGGAAATATGCCGATTTCTTCTTCTTCTATTTCATTGTTTTGACGAGAGCTTGATATCACCCCGACGACTCACAAAAGTAGACATCTCTGGCATCCTTATAGAACTCTTCCCACGAAAGGATTCTCACCGGTGTATGAGGCGTGGTGCCATCCTGTCAGTAAAACAGAATTACTCCTAAAGTTTTCCAGAATTTGGAAAGAGTTCTCAAGCACTTATCAGCAGTGAAAGTGACAGCACAGAAACAACACAGTGACAACACAGTGACAACACAGTGACAACACAGTGACAACACAGTGACAGCACCGTGACAACACAGTGATCTCGTCCTCATCCATAAATCAAAAGAGGCCATTAATGTCTTTATTGTGATCCATTGCCATCCATATCTTGGCTTTCAGAATTCGGAGATCTTTCTTACTTCTTGAGAACTTCATCAGGCCTTGATCAACCCCAAGTAACACGACCCTTTTTTTGGTTTTGCTTCTCAAATAAACATACATACCCGTTCAGATCAAAATAAGCTTCATCGCTGAACCAAACATTCTTAAATGAAGAACTCATCATCCTCGCGTTTATCCAAAAACAACTGGCACGTTCTCTGTCTCCCCTAGGAGAGTTGGGTGGTGACGTGCGCTGGTGTGTCCAAATGCTGTATGCTTTTAGTCCTTTACAACCATGTTTTGCGTGCTCGGTGTTCTGTAAAATGAGGTCAGAGAATAAATTAATGTTCGAATTAGCGTCGTGAACGCCTAATGGACTATTTCGGTGTTCACAAAACATCTTTCACTTGTGCCACATTCTTGTCTGTGTCTGTGCGGGTTCTGAGACTGTGAGTGAGACCCGATTGAGTTTAAAAATCGATGTAAAATGTTTGAGCACGTCGTTCTCACATGCACCACAGCAGGAAATTAATAATATGTCTGCCCAACATAACAGGCTATTGACCTTTTAGACTCAGAAGGAATTTTACAGTTTTGGGGTCTTTTTTGTGTGTCTTTTTTCTTACTTTTTTTTGGGGGGGGGGTGGACTATTGATCCATCCCTGAATGAACAAAGAATGAGGCTTCAGCTGTCTCTTAGAGACCAGTTTTATGACCGGATTTCCCAGAAAGAGCCTCTTCTGTTTCACCCCACTCCACAGAGACCGTACATTGAATGTGGGATCAAAACAATAGGGCGTTTCGTAATGCGCATAGTTCATTGAACTTCAACACATTAAAATTTATGGTAAGGATTTTCCTATCATCTCTCTAGTTATGGAACTTTATGTGGTTGGCAGGTTTAGGTTCTTCTACGTTTTGGTTTGTTTGTTTGTCTGTTTTGTGTTTTTTAACAGTAGTATTTCAATTCAGAGAGGTGTAAACATCATGGACACTGCACCTTCTACGCTTCTATTAAGCCTGGTTAACTCTTTAAGGGCGTGGCGGACTAATAAATATTTTGTCAAATTGGCAGCAGACCAAAGTAATTGTTATGAGATATTTCGAACCCAATACACACAGACCAGAAACAAGAACTTATATAAAGTATTATTCCACAGATATTGTCAGGTTGTCATCTGACTTTATAAACCCCCGGGGCAGTACCGTGCCACTGACTGAAGTGTCTTTAGGCCATTCCCAGAGGGGGGACATTTCTCGTTCTAATGCACTGTAGAATTGTAAATGGGCTGATCCAACACTGTCATGCTCATAGCTGTGCCTGAACTACAACAAGGAACTGCTGCTTTTTCCTTCCTAATCCTTACTATTGTCATTTTCCTCTACTTCTTTTGTATATTTGTCACACTCTTGTGACCCGCTATTTCCGGGTTGCCTTGATAGTCGAAGTAGACTTTGTGCTGTTGAAGCTAGAGAGGTGAGCAGAGTAAGTCTGATTCCCTGTAAGGCAAGGACTTCTCTTTTGACATCAACCCCTTGGAGCTCATATGACTTTATGCAGTTGCGAGCGCCGTAAAACCTCTACTAAAACTACTGACTTTATAAGTTGCTTATAAAGAAGACAGAACTAAAAAATAAAATGTATGAACAACTAAGTTCTGCTCCAAAACGATGAGACTTCGACGAGCAATGTAGAATAGCCAGAAATGCACGTCCTAATTGAGTTAAAAATTATTTGAGTGCAATTGGAACGAATCGAAATAATTAATTTAGGATGTTTTGGGAGAACATTGCTTTCAGCTTTCACTTTTCCTTCCAGGGCGTATCCAGACTATGGGTGGGATTCCGTAAACTTCGTAAGATGGTTTTCTGCGGATAGCAACTGAAGTA